AAGGGAAGAGAGGCAAACCCTATATATAGACTATTAGGTTTATACAAAAATAGTTTTCCTTTTTAAGATAATTACTTATTGATTGCTTTTTAGAGAGAGAGGAGGGAGGGAGGGAGGGAGAGAGAGAGAGGGAGGAAGAAAAAGAGAAACATCAATTTGTTGTTCCACTTATGTATGTATTCATTAGTTGCTTCTTGTATGTGCCCTAACTAGGGACCAAACCCGAAACCTTGGCCTATGGGAGCACGCTCTAACCAACTGAGCTACCTGGCTTGGGCAGCCTCTTAGGTTTTCAGAGAGATTTTGTTCAGTGTCTCTTCATTTTCCAGTAACACATTTTTTACAGTGATGCTCAAAGAAAGGGAATTTGCTTTTTTGGAAGAATACTAAATGTAATTGACTGGAAGGAATTTCTGCCTAGTAGAAATTAACCAATCAGGGAAGATTGTGATTTCAGTAAAATAAGTGTCATTTTTTAGACATTTATAAAATACCTATTTTTAATTAGAAATTACTTTTGTTCTATCCTTAGTCTCTTTTTGCTTTCTCATAAGAGTTAAGAATTGTCCCAGTCATTCCAGTGTTGCATTTGTTTTGGTTTATTTGCTAACCTGTTAGATATAGAACACATTAGTCTTTTTTTTCCACTTGAACTATGAACAAATGAGTAAAAGACTAGAGGGTATTGGCTAAGAGAACAAACTTCTGATTTTGAATTCTTTACTCTTGTAGGCTTTGTGGCTTTACTAATTTCTTGTGTTTTATTTTTTAAAAATCTGTGCAGTAAAGATAATAGTGCTACTTATATTACACTATTTGAGGATTACATGATATGTGTAAACTATTTGGAGGTGTTTAATAGTTTCTGTCACATAGTATTTGTTCAATATATATTGACTATCGTTGTCATTATTATTTGTGGATGGTATAAGTGCTAAGCAAAAATGAAATTAAAATAGGGTTTATTTAGCTTGCTATGGAAAATTTGCACAAAAATGATTACCTTTCAATGAATGAGACTATAAAATGTGAAAATGTAGCTTTAATTATGATGATCCTAATTTAATTTTCTTAAAATGAGCTCATCATGTTCTCTTATGGAAATGGGATTATACATAACTTCTGAATTTTTTCTTTATGTATATCTTAGGTATCTTTTCTAAATCAGTATGTATATGTTTTCTTTATTATTAACAGTTGATCATAGTCCACTGTTCATTTGTACATGTGTACTATAATTGATTTAACAGGTTTTTAAAATGAGTATTTAGATTTCCAGTTTTTCACTGGAGTTAATTATCTATATCTTCCTATCTTTATCTTTGAGCATTTAGGCAAGTGTATCATGAGATATAACAGGGTAAACCATAGGGTAAATGCCTAACTAGTGGAATTGTATGTGACTTTTAAATTTTGATAGGTATTGCTCCATTGTTCTCAAAAAAGACTGTATTGATTATGCCACAAGCAACTATGTGTGAACATTTCTATTGCCACTCATCTTTGCTGATACTGGGCATTATTATTTTTTTAATCTCACTATTCTGGTAGGTAATAAAACATTATAGATTTGATGCAAAATACTTTTGATTTGATAGTATGTTGAGTTTGTACAGCATGTATTTCACAGGATTGAACTTGGGCATTTTTATAATACACATGTTAGTCTGACAGGAGCAGGAACGTGTTATTATTTAGCATTACTATTTGTATTAGTTACCAGTTGCTGTCTAATGAATTACTCCAAAACTTAGCTTAGAACGACAAACATTTATCTTACACAGTTTCCGAAGGTCAGGAAGCTGAGAGTGGCTTAGCTGAGTGATTCTGGCTCAGGGTCTCATGAGGTTCTCTCAAGCTGTTGTCTGAGACTAGAGTAGTGGTTCTCAACTTTCTGGCCCTTTAAAACAGTTCCTCATGTTGTGACCCCCAACCATAAAATTATTTTTGTTGCTACTTCATAACTGTAATTTTGCTACTGTTATGAATTGTAATGTAAATATCTGATATGCAGGATGGTCTTAGGAGACCCCTGTGAAAGGGTTGTTTGACCCCCAAAGGGGTCGCGACCCCCAAGTTGAGAACCACTGGACTAGAGGATTTGTTTCCAAGGTCACTCTGTGGTTCTTGGCAGGAGGCTTCAGTTCCTCCTGTGAACCTTCCATAGGGCTACTCATGACATGGCTTTTCTCAGAATTAATGATGAGAGAGAACCAGAAGCTACAGAGCCTTTATAATCTAATCACAGAAGTGACATCGCCATCACTTCTGCTATATTTTGTTAACACTGAACAGTGCTATTGCAACGTGGGCGGGTATTTACACACCAGAGTGTGAATACCATAAGGCAGGGATCACTGGGCCATCTTGTTGCTGGCAATCACATGATTGTACTCACTCTGATTTTTGTTTCTGTCCTCAAGTAGCGAAGACATTTGGGCAAGTAGCAAAGCCATTTTAGGAGGCAAGTGATGGAGTGAGTAGTAGTGTTTCCCAAAAGTAGGGCATATTGGATTATGGTAAGATGAATTAGGAGTACTACTTATGGGAGAAAATTCAGGAGTGGAAATGAGAAAAAAGGTAAAACATGAAAATACTTGTCTCCCTTTACTGCTAACAACTGAGGAAGCATATTCCCTTATGTATCAACTCAATCCAGCAAACACCTAAGTGACCTGATTGCATGCACATCAGAGAAGATTGGATTCCATTTTTGTTTGTTTTTTCAATTCAAGTATGAACTTTATCTTAATTACAGAAAAAGGTAATTTTTTTCTTTGTTTATCAGGACCACCTATTTTAAGAAATGGGACTTTTACAGAGTTTTTTCATAGAATTCTGAAGGTATATTGCGTTAGATGGAGTTAGTTATATCTAATTCTCATTCAGCTACAGTCTTGAAAATTTAATTTCTATCCCAACCATTTCTGGCAAAACTTGTCTCTGAAACTGTTACATGTATTTAATTTTACTAAATCTGCCTTTTTCATTTTAAACATGTATAGGACAAACTAGTAGAATAAATAAAACGTCCTGATATATAAAAGTCAATATTTTGTCATATTTAGTTAAGATCTTCCCTTTTCCCTCTGTTCCTCTTTCTCTCTCTCTTACTCGTTGTTACTTGGTAGTTTGCAAGAGTTACCCGTTTCAGTTTTGCTGATGGCATCTCTGGTATTGTGTAATATGTTCTTTCTTTTTTTAAAATGTATTTTTATTGGTTTCAGAGAGGAAGGGAGAGGGAGAGAGAGAGAGATGGAAAGAATCAGTGATGAGAGAGAATCATTGATAGGCTGCCTCCTGGATGCTCCCAACTGGGGATCGAGCCTGAAACCCTGGGCATGTACCCTTGACCAGAATCAAATGTGGGACCCTTCAGTGTGCAGTCCAATCTACTGAACCAAACCAGCTAGGGCTGTTCTTTTGTACTGGTATTTTTTCTAAATTGTTAGTTATATTTAGAAGCTTTATCAGATTAAGGTTATATTTTATTTATTGGAAAGAATAATTCCTAAGTGATATTTATTTATTTTGACTGATATGCTGGACAAATTAGGAAACAGCACCTCTTTTGGGCAGAATAATTAGGAAAAAACACTCATTCTGGGTTGAAGAATTAGAAAAGAGGACTTTTGAGAAATGTTAATTTCTAATTTTATTCTGTTGTGTAAAGAGAACATACTCTATTAAGTTTCAGTCTTTTGACATTTTCTGAAAATTTGTTTAAGGTCTAGCATATGGTCTGTTTTGGTGAGCAATCAATGTATATTTGAAAATAATGTGTATTTTGTGGCTGTTTGGTACAGATGTATTATAGATGTAAATTAGGGCAATTTGGTTGATAGTCTTACTCATATCTTCCATATACCTACTAATTTATCTTCTCATTTATCAATTACTCCAACTAGATTATGGATTTGTGAATTTCTCCTTTTCAGTCATGCTTCATGTATTTTGAAACTATTTGATACGTAGATACTTAGAATTGTTATGATGAATGTTTCCTTTTGTCATTATTAAATGTCTTTTTTTTCTTTTTATTTATTTTGGGATGACATTGGTTCACAAAATCATATAGATTTCAAGTGTACAACTCAACAAAACATCTGTGTTCTGGTATCAGCTCCCCACAACCCTACTCAATCAAAACTTCCCTTACCAAGATTCCCCAGGACCTTCCTGTGGTTAAAGCCCAAGGACCTTCATCTCTCCATTTTGGTTGACCTCCTCTCCCTATTTGACTTTGCTGGCCATGCTCTACTTTTTAAAAAATATATATTTTTTA